TGGGATCGTGTCGACACCGATCTTGGTCATGGTCCATGTCGGCAGTCGCCCATTCGCGAGGATGATCCACGAATTCGCGCTGACCAAGATGGACGGTGACCAAGATTGACACCACGTTTTCGCGTTCAGTCTTGATCATGGTCTCCGTTTTATTCCCTCCAGCCCAAAGTTGAGAGAGACGTCCCCAAAGCTCCTGCGACCCAGTAGAAAATCAGGGGGGCCTGGTGTGTCCTCTTCGGAGAACGTAAGACCCGAGTTCGCCAGAACTCGGGTTTGCCGACGCTTCTTGTCGGGCCAGTCTTGAATGTTGACGGTCCAGTGTTCGTGGGATCGGGTCTCGTCATCTGCATGATGACCCCGTCAGGTCCACCCCGAGTTCCCCGAATCCGAGTCTTACGTGTTCCCGATCCTCGCAATTCCGTCTTCAGAGTGCGCAAGCGTGCGCGAGCGCTTGGTAATCGATAAGAGGGAGCCGATTTAGCGTCGATTAGCGCCGATGTTGCGTGGATTCGTGTCGACCAGCGTCGATTAGCGTCGGCCAGCGACGATTCGCAAGAGCCAGCAAGATGGTACTGGAGGCTCCCATGGGTTGCCACGGAAACGTCCCCAGATCTCCGGCGACGCACACATCTGGCGTCTCGAAACATCGCGACGGAGGTTTCTCATCGTCTCCGCTCCTCGGGGGCGGGAAGCGATCGAGAGCTCGGGGCCCCGCGTCTCGAAGCGAATGGCGACGCCGGATCTCCCCCGAGGCGATCTGAGTTTGTAGACCTTCACTTTTCCCCAGATTTCGGTTTTCGGCTAGTTTTTCTGGCGATCTGATTTTGTAGACCTTCACGTTTCCCCAGATTTCGGTTTTCGGGTAGTTTCACGGGACCATCAAGAATGGACCAGGAACGAAAGGTGATTGTGGGATCGTATTCACGCGGAGGCGCCCAGGATGATGTCTAGAAAAACCGGCCTTGGGCCTGGAAATTATCTTCTTAATTGTTCCCCCCCGCCCTTCTCAGGCGCGCGCCTTGACGGTCGACGGGCCAAACGGAGCCGAAGCTAAGCGGAAATTGAAGATTCGGAAGCCATTTTGCCAATCGATCCCCCCGCGTTTTTTCCTTGATGGACATCTTCCAGGATATACGTACATCGATGCAGATATGCCGTACCTCTTTTTTTATGTTCCGAGGGCGGTCGCGGACTTCTCGCCCTCTACCCCAGGCGCTTCCGTGCCTCACCCTTCGTCCGACCTGCCGCCATTCGCTCCGGCTCCTTCTCCGCCGCCGCCTTCTCCTTCTTATTGCGTTGGGCGGACAGGAGGGCCAGGCTTGCTGCGTTCCTCCGCCTCCTCCTCGTCCGATCCCACTGAATGGTTTTGTTCGTGGCGTCGACCCCAAGCGTCTCGACTCGTTCCCTGGGACTGGTTTTTCCTCCTGAGTCGTTTCTTTGGCAATCCCCCGGCCCGGCGATGGCCCCCAGAGGCCGAACATATAGAACAACAACATCCAGCCGTATTTTGTTTCACAGCGCGAGGGAGCCTGTCACCGCTGCCTGACACCATCATGTGCGGCTGTCCGAGTAGGGCACGGGCAGGCGCTGGAGCTATTCGCCGTGGGTTGCAGGGTGGAGTACCTCAGCCAGACAGTTGGCAGGTGCCTGCCAGGGGGGTCAGAATTGGCCACGCTCGGGGGGGGGGGGGTAGGGGGAGAGGAAGGCTCGGATCTTATCTGGCGATGTAGGGCCGGCGCCGTCGAAGAAGCAGTCTCCTTCTGAGAAACCTCCCCCCCTCCCCCTACCCCCCATATTCGACTGCACGTAAGAGTGACCCTTCGCCGGAGTGACCTTTGGTGCGGGCCCATTGGGGTCCCCCGATCGCCGAACGCGAGGCGGCAGAGGCGTCTTGTGCACTTGTGTTAGGCCCCCCCGCGGCCCCCCAAAAGTCGCGCACCAAAGGTCACTCTTACCCAGGGTCACTCTTACTTACGTGTAGCCGACATATGCGCGCCGCCAAAGAAGGCGCGTGGTGGTCAGAGCGGTTGTGCTCGCTCGGCCTCCTCGCGGCTCCGAGAGGGTTCTGGCTCGTTGCGAAGGTTAGAGGTTCGAGGTTCAAAGTTTTCGGGCGTCTTCATCGGGCCGCGGCGGTTTCCCAGCTTCGGGATGCGTTCCAGCAGCTGCACCCCGTCGAGAGCGTTCCGGGGGTGCCCAGATCGTCCCGAACGTCCGCTGGGAGCCCGAGTCATGACCGAAAGCCAACCTTCCACTGGTTGAGGAAGTCACGACGGGAGGTCTTTGACAGTCTTTTGCCTCCAGGGGCCCCTGCCTGTCCCTGGGACCTTCAGATGCCGCTTCGGGATGAGAGCCAGTCCCGGGGAATGGGACTCTTCCTCCTCCCCCTCCTCCTCGTCCTCCTCCGAGTGCTGGGACTCCTCGTCCTCCCCCTCCTCGTCCTCCTCCTCGTCCTCCTCCTCCTCGTCCTCCTCCTCCTCCCCCTCTTCCGTAGCCATGTTTGGCTCAAGGTGGCTGGCCCTGCCAGCGACTGGCACGCGGCACGCCTGTAAGGTTTCCCCATTCTCTCCGTGATGTCTGCTGCTCCACACACGATCATTGCTGATCTTCATGGGGAGTTGATCCGACGGCTTTCGTTAGTTGCTGGCACGCACTTCGAAGGTCTCGAGCAAGCGGGTCGTGTTCTTCGCCGAGCTGGTCGTATTACAACCGGCACTGCGCACAAGCTTGCCCGCCTGGGCCACGCCTACAACCTGACCCGTCATGTCACGTGCGTTTCCGCTACCAGCTTCCTGGACTCTGTGATGATGGAGGTGGGCGGAACGCCATGTTCTACGGGTTTGCAGGCTACGGGATCACAGCCTTCAGATACTTCGTTGAAGACTGCGACTTCGGCCTCACTGTTTTCTTCGCCTGCATTGACGGCTACTTCGACATTGATGACTGCTCCCACGTCGGCTGCCCCTTCACCGAAGGTTTCGACATCACCGCCTCCAGAGGAGGCCCTGGGAGCTGTCCATCCAGTTCCTCATCGTGCCGATGGTGTGGTCTCTGCTGATAATGTCGGCGATGCCGCGCTTCCCTCCGAAGCTCGACTGGGTGAAGCTCCTGTTCGTGCAAATCTGCCCCATGATGACGATACTCAGGGTGATGGCGTCGGCACCTACGACGTGATGTCGACGTTCACCGTTACCATCTACCAGCCGTGCCTCTGCACGGCCACTATTCCTGACGGCCGCGGTAGTGGACCCGGGTCCCTCGGCACGGCGACCCACGACGCGAACATCTTTGCGACGGGCGACTACGTGATCCCTGCGATCCCGTTCGCGTTCGCCCCGAACTCGTTCCGCCTCTCTGAGCCCTGCGATGCGTCCGACCGCGTTCGATACCGCGGCAAACGCGCGGTCTGAGGCAGATCCTTCCTCCACCTCCTGCTGTGTGCTCTGTAGCTGCGGGCGGGGGTGGGATGGCGACGACGTACGAGAGTGGATGGGAGGATGTCTTAAGTCTCTCTTTAGGCCGCCTCATTGATGATTTTCCTGAGCCACCTCCCCGTCTCCTCCACGCCCTTGCGCTGAGTATGTCGGCTATCCAGGTCTCTCTCGCGTTCGGGTTGTGGAGGTTTTATGATGATAGTTGTAAGAAGGCAGGCTTCAGAGGTACCTCTCCAATCTGTCTTGTCTCTCTTTGCGTGCTGGCAGCCTGAGGGAGGTTGAGGCTGCGTGCTGAAGCCCTCTGCACAGGAGTTTAAATTTAACCCCCCCAGGCCTTTCCAGCATCGCTTTGACTTTCTTCTTGCCTTCGATTTTTCGTGCCCCTGTTTTCTTCGGTCGTGGCCCTCGCTCGGCGTTGTCTGGGTCCTGGGTCTCCGTCCCTCGTTTCTTTCGGCCCCCCTCGGGCCCATCGCTCGTCGCCTCGGCGCCACGGGCAGGAGCGTTCGGCAGTCGATCACCCGCGTGCAAATCCAAAACAATCCTCCTCCCCCTCCTCCTCCTCGTAAAGGCCCCAGGCTGCGCAAATAGCAGGCAATCCAGCAGTGGCCAGGCGTCCGGGCGTGCCTGTAGGCCTACCACAGAGTGCTCTAAGAACCTTCGGCGGTTTCCTCTGGATGTTCTTAGAGCATTTCTGGCTGGGACTGTCTCGTTTGAGCACATCGCGGTTGCATTCTGAGGGCATCATTTTTGTCCTTAGGACATTTTGGGCTTCTACGAACGTTTCTTGGCAGGCCAATAGAAATCCAGACCTCCTAGATGGGGTCGGAGTAGATGGGGTCGGAAGATCGCGCTGCATCGCCGATGCATCGCCGATGCGGCTCGATATGGGGCCCGAGTTTCACCGCCGACTGCGCCGATGCATCGCCGATGCATCTCCGATGTGTCGTCGATGCGGCGCGATCCTCCGACCCCATCTATTCCGACCACATTTAGGAGGCCTCTAAGAAATGCTCGAACGGTCGGTCCCTATTCAAGACAAGCGCACCAGCTCTGGCATCGTTTCAGCATGTTCTCCAGCCACTTGCTGCGATTAAGTCGGGAGTGTCCCTCTACAGGGGGATGTTCAACATGAGAAAAATAGTCTTGGGACGACTGTTTGGAGCATTTGTTGACCATGTTGGAGTATGTTTCGACTATGTTTTATGTTTCGTCCAACATCCCCTTTGTAGGGTGACAGGCCCGACTTAACTCTAGCCGCCTCCTACAAGGTCCGCCACCGTGACTGCTGTGTTGCGACAACACTTCTAGCATCGCCCTGAAGGACTATGCCATGGAGGGCCTCTCAAAGTGCCTTCGGGGCCGACTTGTGTTAGGTCGGGCGTGTCCCTTACTATTCAAAGATAGTCAAAAACAGTTAGAGGACGATGTGTCTGTATATTCTTGGGCATCTGGGAAACATGTGCTGAGCATGTTCAATGTTTCGTCCAACATCCCCCTGTAGGAGGACAGGCCCTACCTAAGACGACTAGTCATGGAGGGCCTCTCATGGTGTTTTCTGGGGCCGACTTGTGCTGCCTTGGGTACCTACGGGACAGTTGTGGAGCTTGTCTGGTGGTTCTCTGGAGGCTGCCTCAGGGGTCTGTTGGGGCCCTCATCGGGCTCGTTGGGCCTTCGAGAACTTGTTTGGGCTCCGAGTGCCTCATGCAGCCATCGTGCGCCGAGAAGCCCAGGAAACCCACCGTAATCAGAAATCCGAGGACCTCCCTCAGGCGTTTGAATGGTATTGCCCTTCCTGGGAGACATCTTGGCATTCTCCTTGCTGTCTTGGAAGCCTCTTGGGCTCCCTTTGGCCTCTCTAGACGTTTTGGGCCGATCTGTCCATGGCTTTCAAAACAATGTTGGCCATCTTGGCGGCCTGGGTGGCCTACCTTCGCCGTCTCGGAAGCCGTGGAGAGCCTTGGAGAGCTCCAGGGATGCGTCGGACAGCCCAGGGGGCCCTTGCAGCTTTCTGAGGAGAGGAGGAGGGGCCTTCGAAGAACCGCGGAAACCCTACCAGACAGACAGCACTTGGCATTCTCCCACGGCTCAACGCGCCCGGGTGAACGGTTGCGGATCTCTGTTCCATACGTAGTCCGACCTGAAGCGACCCAAGAGCGCCCCAAGACGTCCCAAGAGAGTCTCCCGTGAGGCCCAGGACTGCCCCATGGGGCGCCAGGACCGCTCCAGGGGACCCGCGCAGCCCCCAATGGGGACACGGCCAGGCAGCCCAAGAAGACCCCAGGCAGCCCCCCAATGGGGCGCCCAGAAGTCTCTGCGAGGCGCACCCGCGAGGATCCTGACTCCACGGACGACACGTGTGCACCGTGCCGCGGTGGCGTCTCTCGAGGCGTCGTCGATCCTCGGCCCAGGAATGGTATGGCTGTGGTGCACTGTCTTCCCGGCCCATAATAGAACCGAACGACTGTGCACCGCACAGCGCTGGAGCGGGGCCTCACGGGAGTCCAACATGGTACGGTGCACGGGTGCCGTCCTCGCACGGAAGGACCCCCAGCAAGCGTCTTCCAGCTTGGACGGCTTTTCTTAAGTATTTGGTTTTCTTTCGCTGCGGGGTCCCCCTGGTGGCGCCTCCGGCGCCGCCCCTGGCCGCTCCGCGCGCCAGGGAGGAGGGGTCCACCGCCGATCCAACAAGTCCGCGCGGAGCTCCTGAGGTGTACGTGCATACGGTCTTCTCCTGCAGGGGGAGCTCGTTGAGGCCTCAAAGAAGCGTCCCACGAGCCCCGGAGAGAGAAGCAATACTTGATCTCAGTGGGCCTCGGAAGCGCCAGGGCGTTTGTTGTCAACGTTTCCGGAACATATGTCTTCGACATGGAAAGTTGGAAGAACGGCTCCAGAATTGGAACCGGAGCCGGAATTGGTTAACACACGGCGACGGAATCGGAAACAAAAACGGCATTGGAACCAGCAAAACAGATTGCAAAAGCGAGCGGGTCAAAAAACAGTTTTGTGGTTTCCAGGGCCCACTAAGCCCAGAAGAGAGGAACAGTGCTTCATCGTGCCCCCAGGGTTCCCACGAAGCGTTTCACCCCCGCTTCTTCCACGCCCTTCCCCTCGTACTCCTCAGGGCTCGACCTGAACGGTGCTTTGCTGATACCTTGGGCCGTGTTCGTTTCGATGTCGTTTTGCAGCAAAGACCGATCGAAGACAAAACGAGGGGGAGAACCGAAAACAACACGAAAATGAAACAAACCCTGTTCGGGCCGATCCCTTGTGCTCCTCGTCCCCCTTCTCTTCGCCGTCCTTCTCGCCCTTGTCCTCCGTCTCGTTCTCCCTGCCCCCCGGTTCGTCCCCACGTCTCCTCACCGGTCTCTCTCTCCTCGTCTGCGCTGCCACCTTCGCCCACCACGCTTTCCCCTCCCAGCCCTCTTTGCCGTTCTTATTGTCTCCCTCGTCTTTCGCCTCCCTCAGGCGGCCAGTTGCGACGTCCTGCAATGTAGTGTCTCGAGAGACCGCCTGAGCGAAGTGAAACTTGGACGAGATCGGGCGAGGGACTCATCCTGGCCACAAAAGGAAATCGGTCACAGCCGATCTCAAGTTCTATTTGCCTCATCTGATTGGGGTCCTTTGCCAGGGTTCGAGCTAGACGGTACTTGGACATTCAGTGGACCGTTTTCGTTTTGGTTTCGTTGCGCAGCAGAGGCTCAGCGGAGACAGAGTGAAGGAGCACGAAAGCAACACGGCATCGTCAAAAAACGTTGTCCTTGGCTGTGGATGTGGATGTCGAAGAGTTGCCCACGGAGCACGAGTCGTGCCTGGCTGGGCCCCTGGGTCCACAGAGAGTCCGACTCGACTTTGGGCCTCCTGGGCCTTACAGGGGGCCACGGCGGCAACGAGGTTTCAGGAGCCTTGAGACGGGGGTCAGTGCAAACGAGGGTCAGCCAGGGCGCCCGACCTTGCAGGATCCTGCAGGGCCCGGGGCGCACTGACCCGGGCTTGGGAGCAGGATCCTGCAGGATCTTTGCAGGATCCCTCACATTGACCGGGGTTTGAGTGCAGGATTTTGCAGGATCTTGCAGGATTCTGCAAAGCTTGAGTGACCCGGGTCTGGATTGACCCGGGTTAGAAGATCCCCGAAGGTTTGCTGACGACTCGTGGCCTCCATTCGCGTGAGGGCCCCCATGGGCGAAAAGCATACCTGTGCCCGCTGCCTCGTGGGCGCGGCCCCTGGGCCGCGACCCCGCGGAATGCGGGGCGTTCTTGTTCGCGGATGCCTTGCGCGGAATGTGTCCGTGCGACCGTTCATCCGCGGGATCGCGCCCCGGAATCCAAACCGCGAGGGCGCGGATGCGGATACGGATACGTTCGCCGCTCGCGAGGTCTGCACCAGGAAAGTGTGCCAATGGCGTGGGCCAGGCCTGACGTGCCTGCTGGACAGCACCGCCAGCGCGGTGGTGGTGGACAACCGCATGGCGAGGACTCCTACGCGGCCGTGGTGCAGCGCATGTTGCCTTCGCCCCCGGGGTCTGCGGCGCCGCCTGGCGATGTGCCGATGCCGCCCTCGGAGCCTGGCAGCTCGCCGGACGCCTCGGTGGCCGAGCTGAGCACCGCGCAGACGGAAATCCGGTACTGGCGCGACCGGCGTACGGCAGCCCAGCGCTATGGGGCGGCGGCGGATGTGTCGGAGTGCGACCGGCAGATCCACGCCTTGGAGCAAGCTGCCCAGGCATCGCGGCCTTGGGCGGTCCGCGTCCAGGCCGCCACGGACTCGCAGAAGGCAGCGGCGTCCAAGCTCAAGTCGATCAGCGAGGACTTGATGCAGGCGCATCGTGCCGTCATGCACTTCGAGGCCGAGGCGGCCAAGGCGCAGGAGGCATTGCGCCAGGCCGATGCTGCGCTGATGGCGGTGCAGGCGGAGGCGGCTCCTGCACGTGCACCTCCGGCTGCGGACCTCTCCGAGGCTGGGGTCGCCGCAGCTTTCGACACGCTGGCGGCCGCGACTTCCAGGTTGCTGCCGCATGGAGGCGGCGCCGGAGGCGCCGGAGG